TATAAATAATGCTAACCCCTATTAAGGAGACATCAGGGTTCTTCCAGGGAGAGTGAATTAACAGGGGGGCAGTTGTAGATAACCCTGGGTAAAAGCACTCCCAGTTTGGGTTGTTCCAGTACAGAGACCTGCACAGTCCACAGCCAGGTCTGAAGTGGGATGCCCAAGCAAGTTGTGGAATGGCAGAGTTTGGAAGGCATTTAGCAGCAGGCTGGTGTACAGGGATCAATGACATTCCAGGCTTAAGTAGCTTTATTTCTCTTGAGGCTGTAATGGAAATTTGGTAAGATATTTGCAGTGAAGTTTAATTTGAAAGAGGTCTTCATCTTCTCATCTGCATTGAGTCTTCCTTTTGAAGCAAGGTTAAAATGAAGGAAAGCTATGAAGAATGGTAACTCTGGAGACACAGGGGAGACTTAGAATGAAGGTGAAGAAGGAAATGAATGAGTTTCAGAAAAAGTGGGGAGAAAGTGCAAATGGGAAAAGGATACATCAGGCTCAAAATCACAGATTTACTGTAATTTGTATTTGTGTGTCAACCCAAAGCCTTTCTGATGGGGAGTGAGATTCTGACTTAGTCCTGCTATGAATATCCACCTACCTGAAAAAAGATTTTTTTTTAATGATAAAATGCTTTATTTGGAAAATGCTGAAAATAGAGAATCAAGCTCCTAACCAAGGAACTGGCCATGGCAAACCAGACAAAATCACAGAAAGTACTTACTCCAGATGGGTGATCATCATGCAGGGAGGCAAAAAAATAGCTAAAGATGGTGGAACACTTTAAACTATGAAATAAACCTTTTCAGCTCATAGCACTGTTATGAACATTTGCATTTCAAAGGTGTTGAAGATGATTTCTAGGTAGAAAATCAAAAGGCCCAGTACAGAGATCAGGAAGCAAAGGTATGATGACACATAATCTGGGGCTGCCACATGCAGATMTTTACTTCAGTGTGCAATACCTGTGAAGACATTGAACCCTTTGCTTCAGAAGTCAAGAGCTGACCTGTCCTCCTGTTACAGGAAGGAGCTTTAGCACACACTGGAGTGGTCTTCAAAGACACAGAAACCAGAAGAAAAAGAGCTTCCTTTGTCTTCCTTGATCACAGCTCTGACCTACACCTGAGATTTGACTGGACAGAACCCATTCTATTTTAGAGGTGCAAAAGCCTCTTCCTGGCTTGCTTACTCAACACCATGACAGGCTCACGAGTCCAGGTTTGTTCCACAGACTMCTTCAGCTGATGAAGGCCACTACATATTTCCAGCACCTTTTTCCTTTGAAAAAATAGTTAACTCCAGTCTCACAGTCCTGAAGATATTTCACTCTTGTCTGATATTAAGAAACGTACAACAGGGACTGCAGAAATGAATCACAGCATCTGATGGTGAGATTAAACCCAGCAGCTTTCAAGGGAAAGTGCATTGTCTCACTGATGGAAATACCCCAGCTCCCTCCAGTGGGACATGGGATCTGGGAGAAACAGAGGGGGTGACTAAGGCAAGCATACTTCTTGCAAATATATTAGTTTAGTTTTTTTTATTCTTTTACTTTCCTCACCTTTAAA